TATATTGGCTCTATTTCTCTGCCTGTTTCTATCAGCCCAATGCATTCCAACCTCTTGTGGCTGAAAACTGAAATGTACATGTTGGCTGGGTGACAAACAGGATGGAGTCACATGTCCCACATTGTCAGCGTTAAATGACACCTTTTTATCATGGAATCTAAAACTCCAAGGTTAAGTGGTTCGTGAGCTCCATTATTTAGGACATTTGGTTTTATTTTTCAAGAAATTTAAAATCAAACACCTGATGTTCAAGAATGAACTGGTTTTGATTATCAGAATCATTTTTAACCACCATCTGGAAACAACAAGGTCCAAGAACATCTTGCATAGCTGCCTTTTTAACAGCCTGTTCGTATTTAGACAAACAAAGTTTAGAATGGTTTATCTTTAAATAGTCTGGATTTGCAGACTGAGGAGTTTCTTTAAAATTCTTACCTGGCTCTGGGTCTCCCCAGGAGCCAGTGGCTCCCTTGTCCTGTTCTAAAACAGAAATTTTGGGAGTACTGGTACTCAATAGACCTAAAGTAGATTTTATCAAGGTCCAAGCTGAGGACTCAGGAGAAACAGTTTCTTCTCTGCTGTGAGCTGTCTTTAAATTTTTTCCCACCTTGTCCCAATTTTGAATATCCAAAGTTCCTGTCTCTGCAAATCACAGATAATATTTAACAGTTTCTGGTACCATTTTTGTCATTTTGCATCTGCTGACCGAAGCTCCATCCTACTTCTACAACATATATAACTATACATATCTTTGTTATTTTATTGACAGATTCTGCCCCTTTATCCCAGCTAACTGAAAACTTCCTGAAACACCAAATGCTCTCTACCTTCTACTTTCAGTGAGGCATCCCCAAATTTGTAAGGCAGAGTCCTGTTGCCATCTCATGTCTTGTCTTTCCCACTTGAGTGGGTCTTCCATCTCAGGCCTCAGTTTAGGTGGTCCCTGTTCAGGCACCAAATACTGGGGACCTGGCCAAGATCCCTAACTGCTTGTATGAGGAGTACAGAGAAAGGATGAAATAAGAAACAGACAAATTTAGTAATGCACAGTGGGGGGCTGGGAGTACAATGCCTCAGATGGGCAAAGATGGAAATTTTTATTTTAAAAATCTAAACATGCAGTTTTATAGCTATCCTTGTGTCTTGGTTACTTTTCTCTCGTTGCTGGGATGAAATACCTGACCCCCAAAATTAAGGAAGGAAAGGTTTATTTCACTTACAGTTTGTGGAGGTTTTAGTCCATACTTGGCAGGTTACAGGGCAGAGTGGCACATGGCAAAGAGCTGTAGCTCATGGTGACAGAACACAGCCAAAGCAACAAGCACCAAAGGGAGGAATGGCCGCAAACAGCCTCTTCCTTTTCTTTACATATGCAAACTTCCACCCCAGGTTGGGTGTAGCTCTCACACCCATAATCATTCAAATTCTGAAAGCCTGCCCCATGACTGCATGAGGCTTTGAGGGGACACACAGACACAAACCATAACACCTTGTAAATTTCATATTGTTAATTTTGTTCTTTTTAATTCTAATCTAACACTTCATCTCTTGTGCTACACTTGATCTTAGCCAAAAGACCAAAAGGGGATCTTTCCTTTGCTTGTATTGGTTGTGAAAAAGACCAAGCACTGCTCTCTACAGTCTTCCATGTGGGTGCAACCTGACATTCTCCTTAAACTATTTCAAAGTGGTTTTTGAGAACAAGGGTGCAGAGTTATAGAATCACCTGATATTAACAGTGTGGAATGTACATGCTCCTCTCTTAAAAAAAATAAGAGTGTCTTTATCACTGTTTGCCAAAGTTAAGATATTACAATTTATGTTCATCTTTCAAAATTTATCAAAAACTAAGAGAATTTAGAGTATTCTATGTGATCCATTCTTAATGAATTCACGTTTGTATCTAGATGTGTTTTTCTTCAAAAATTCTAATAATTTACTTAAGAATTGGGCTAAAGAATCTGCCTCAAGATTATATAGACTTATAGGTTCTAAATTTTACTTTTTAAAAAGTAATATTTGTCCATTTTTGGTTTTCTATTACTGCAAGATTTTATTATGACTTTTCAGAGATTGCCAACCATGTTTCTTGGGTTATATTTGTAAATTTTTGTTAACATATTTTTTCAATATTGTTTAGTTTCTCTAGAATATTTTATTGCATAGTTCTACATATACAGAATTTTTATATGGCAAAGACTGAAAACAGGTGTACAAAATTCATTTGTTAGAGCATTTGAATGAAGTTCACATGCCTTTCTTACACAGCCTGACCTAACAAGAGTTTCAATTGTATTTAAGATTGCTAGCTTGAATGCTAGAGTGTAGGACAGAGAAAAAAGAAAACCAGGAGCTCAGAATCCTACTTTTCTTGTCATTTGTTAACTAATCTGTCTCCTGAATAACTGATATCTAATGTCTTCAGTAGTGATCCAACCTTGTTCACTGCTGCTTTTCATGATCAGATCCTACTCTGAGCTGTCATTGCTGTTTAGCTTCATAATTTATAAAATAGTTTATAGTTTCCTTGGCACTTTTTTTTTCCCATTTTGGGTTGGCTTGATTCATTCTGTGATAGACACCTTTACGGATAGTATTCATACAGGCTCTTATCTTTCTTATAATCCTAAACAATTTTATGTGCTTCAAAAATCATACATTCATAACATTTCATCCCAGAATAGACCACTACAAACCAGTATACAAGTAATCACATTCTATGAGGATTGGGTCTATTATTTATCAGAAATTTATTTATTTATTTATTCCAGTACTGGGAATTGAACTCACGACCTTGTGCTTGCCAGGCAGGTGCTGTGCTGCTGAGCTAAATCCCCAGCCCTTATTTATCAGATATTTAACCTTTGCACATGCATAAAGTAAATCTAAGTACAGAAAATAGTGTTTTTTTTTTAAGTAAAAGAAGATGATTTACTTGAAGACAGGAAGGGAGAAAAAGAGAGATGACAGGCATCTACTCTGAAAGAGTAGGGAGAAGTTGAAAGTGAATTGCTCCATGAAACAGTTTTTAAGATCAAAATTTGAGGGTTAGTGAACTCATGTAACAATGATCTGAAAACTGTAATTAAACAAAAGATAGCCACGCTTACCAAAAAAAAAGATTACCAAAAAAGTTATGACAATGTCAAAGTTATATAGTCTAAATTTTTGACAAAATTATGAAACTTTCAGTATTAAGATAAACGCAGTCTTATTGGTAATTATATTGTTTTGTGGAGAGCTTGACTTTGAAAATAAATGGATTTTTATTTACTCAGATGAAATGAGTTTTCATTCAAGTGAGACCTGCACAAGTGTATTAAAGGAAATGGATTCTCAAATACTCCAAAAGTTGTTAATGTTTGTTAGTATTTAGCTGACATTTACCAAGTGCAGCAATGTAAGAGGTACTGACCCGTGCACTGGGAGGGACATGTACTGCTGTGATGAACACAGCAGACAAAAATTCCTGCACCGATGGTCTTTACATTCTAGTGGGATAAGAGTGAATAGTCAGGGCCGGGGATATAGCTCGGTGGCACATACCTGCCTGGGAAGCACAAGGTCCTGAGTTCAATTTCTGGTACCAAAAACAAAACAAAACAAAACAAAACAAAACAAAACAGTGACTAGTCAAAAAATAAATAGGGTAAATAGGTCAGATCCATAAAATTTCAAGGTTTATAGATCACAGAGCCCATTGGAAATGTAATGCAAGTCACATAAGTAATTTTCAATTTTCTATTAGCTATTTTAAAAAGGAAGAAATGGGAGAAATTAAATTTTTGCAAACTTTTTGTTGTGGAATAATTTTTATTTATAAGGAAAATTGCAAAGACAGTGCAGGTAGTTGCATTATACCACTCACTCAACTTTCCATTAAGATTTTATGATATTATGAGACATTCGGCACAGCTAAGAAATCAATGCTAGTACATTAAATTTCAGCAGAATTTTCCATGAATTTCCACTTCCCTATCCAAAATACAGTCTGTAACGTCACATTGCATTTAGATGTCACGTCTCTAGTCTCCTCTGTCTGTGACAGAATATTAATACTAAATTTTATTTAACTAAATATAGAAAAATATCACTTCAGCCCGTAAATACTATTTTTATATTTTACATTTTCAAATATTGTCTTTAACATCCAGTGTGAATTTTATACTTAACAGTACATATCAAACTCAGACATTTTCATTGGGAAATGTTTCATTGGGAAACATTTTGTTTACTTTAAGAGCTCATGGAATTTATTGTCGAAAAAGTGTGCTTAAGGGGCTGGGGATTTAGCTCAGCGGCAAAAGCGCCTGCCTGGCATGTGCAAGGTCATGAGTTCGGTTCCCGGTACCGGAGAAAAACCAACAAAAAAAAGTGTGCTTAAAAGTTTGCCAATATTACACTAAATATGTTTTAAAATTTAATTCAATTAAAGTGAAGCTAACATTTTAGCTTTCTGATTACTGTAGATACATTTAAGTGTTCAACAGCCACAGACGGCTAAAAGTATATTAAATCTTGTTCATTGTAGGAACTTTTAGACTTCAATTTGAGCTAGACCAGGAGCACAAGAATAACATGACTTATGACTACTCTGCTGTGCTAAAAAATAAACTGAGGCGGGGTAAGGGTGGAAGCAGGGAGACCAGGCAAGAGGCTCCTAGAGTGAAGCAGGTAAGGCAGGTAGGTGCCTTGGACTACTCACGTGACACTGGAGGAGGGAGAAGGGGTAGCTCTCTATGAATATCTCCTGAAAGATCCTACTCAATCTGCTTACGAACTAAATGTGATGTCATGGGTGATGACACAATGATTGTGGACCTAAAAAATTGGAATAAAGAACTTAGCTACGTGTTATAGACTAGATTTTGTAAGAAGCAGACTTAGGTAGAAAGATTAGGGTTGTGCACATTTTGAATTCAAGATGTCTATGAAATATTTAAGTGGACATGTTACGTAGGCCATGGATACGTAAATACGCAGTTCAGAAGCATGCTTAGCTGGAAATATAAATTTATGAGCCATGACATAGATAGTATTCAAAGATACACGACTACAGGAGTTCAGAAAAGGGGTGAATGCACAGACGAAATGTTACAATGAGATTATTCAGTAGTGTGTTCAGCAAAAATGCCAACTTTTGAGATTAGGCCCCCCCAAATCATCAAGAACTGGTGGCATAGCAAACTCCTTCCAAGTCAAGCAGTGTCAGACACAAAGGCGCTAGGGCTGCGGTTAGTCAACCATGGCGCAGCCTATCACGCTGCTTTGCTGAAGCAAAGAGAGGCGCAGCTGCAGAGCAGAAATGCGGGAAGCGATGCAGAGGTCCCGAGCCGGCTGAGCACTGGAGGGGAGGGCAGGTCGTTGTCCGCACGTCCACAGCAGCCGGGCTGCATCCCGCGGCACGCCGGCCCACCCCGCACAAGAGTCGCCCCTTCTTTTGCAGGTGACGAGGCCGTGGCCCGACCCTAAGCTCAAGGACACCGAGCCCATAACATGCAGACGGGAGAGTCTGGTCCAGCGAGTGCAGGCTGCGCAATCCTGACGGAAGCCGGCTAAACGGTGTTTGTCTGCTCGAGGACCAAGCTGGGAGTCACTTAGAAGGTGGAAGGACAAAAGGATGGAAGCTCAAGGGCAAAACGCGGGGCAGTCTCCACGCGGAGCTGCGCAAAATGCTTTCCCGTGACCCGCCTCAACCCCAGCCTGAGGGGGAGGAGCGCGGGTAGCCGCCGACCCGTCCCGCACCATCTGGTCCCAGGGCTCGGGGCGGCTCCTGCCCAGCAGGAACTCGGCTCTTGACACCGGAAAGGCGGAGACAGCCGCAGACGGCCGCCGGGACCCTCCTCAAGCCGCGTCCACTAGTCCCGCGCACTAGGGGCGGGACTCTCGGGCGCCAGGAACCAATCGAGACAGGCGTCGTCACATGACCCGTCATGACCAATGGGGGCTCTCGGCGAGAGCGGCGGGGAAATTCAAACGTGTGTAGGGAGAGGCACTCCGGGTCCATTTTCGTTTTTTTTTGACTCGGCTACAGAGGTACGTTTGGTCTTGCGGACTCCCTGAAGCACGGCTACGGCCCTAGTGCGGGCTCCGTGGCGGCCGGGTGGGTGAGGGCTGGGGCGAGGCGAGGCACTCAGAGTTGAGTGGACGCCCGAGGGCGCGTTTGAGCCACCGGGAGGGGGAGGGTGGTGCGGGAGAGTTCGTCAGGGAAGCAAGACGGGGGTGAGGGCCTGGCAGGGATCCTGGGGAGTCTTACCCCCAAAGGCCGTCCTTCTGCGCTCCCTGGGTTAGAACTGGAAGGAGGTGGTGGTAGCGTTCAGGCAGTTAGGCGTCACTCAGAGGTGGACGATGTCTTGCTGCACACTGTCGTTCCTTTTCATTGTTAATTTCCGGTGACTCCGAGTGACTGAGTTGATGTTTGAAAATCACATAGATTAAATTGACGGGAGGAAAGATTGCAGACACTTGTTTGATCCAACAGCACCATTATGGAGATAGGCAAGTGCTCAGGACTTAGGAGCACCGTCGATTCTTTAATTAACGTGATTAAGATAGCGGGTCGTGATTCTGCCAGATATACACAGGAACAAATCCTCTTAATCTCATTTATCAATGTGACGGTCCTACTCTGCTTTGAAAGTACGCTCAAGTGAAGATTTATTAACGTAAAGTAGGTGAATAAGGGAACGGTTGTTCTTATTACCAACTATTATTTACATTAACAAAAAAATTGCTTACATGTTGCTACCAAAATCCAAGCGAACACTCCATCATATTTTTTAAAAAGATGAACATTGTGATGGCCTGAGAAAATATTTCTAGAAAAAGGGTGAAAGAAAAGTCATTCCATGCGGAGGAGAAGAAAATGGAAAGTGTAAGGGGGGCGGGGCAGCAACGTTGTGCAGTGACTTTTAGAGAGTAGCTTCACTCGATATAACTGAAGTTATATTGGGAGCAAAAGGTGTATTGGACCTTTTGAAACCTCCTTGAATATACAAAGCCGTGTCCATTGTTTTTCTGCACAGAGCTCCAACACTTCTCTAATAATCACTCTGTATTTAGGTGTACTTAACCACACTGTTTTGTCTTCTGGGTTCTAAAAGTCCAGTTGCAATTTAGAAATGGAGGCTGAAGATTTAAGTGGCAGAGAATTGACAATTGATTCCATAATGAACAAAGTGAGAGATATTAAAAATAAATTTAAAAATGAAGATCTCACTGATGAGCTAAGCTTGAATAAAGTCTCTGCTGATACTACAGGTGAGTTTTTCTTTTCTTCTTTTTTAAAATAAGAACTGTTTGTTAGAGTCTCCCCAAAGGTAAAGATGAGATGCTAAGCCCTGTGTGTCAACACACTGTAACTTTCTCACTAATACTTACCCATTACAGTACACTTTGTCTTTCAACCTTTTTTGGAAATATTCCACCATTTTCTGCTTTCTTAAAACATGAAACATCACTTATTAGTGTGCTCAAAGGTAGCTTTCTTAACTGTTATAATGTTGGCTATTTCTGTTGATATGCCTTCCATCCATACATAGGCTATTTTTTTTTTCCTTTTTTTTTTTTTTGCAGTGTACTAAGGAAACCTCACCAATCTTAATAAAGTTATGTATAAATTTTACTTCAAAGCTGGGCATGGCAGTGCACACCTGTAATCCTACCACTTGAGAGACTGAGGTAGGACTGCTGTGAATTTAGGCCATCCTGGGCTACATAGTGAGTTTAAGGCCTGCCTAGACTACATAGCAAGACCCTGTCTCAAAACAAAAACAACAAAAATTTAACATCAAACACTTGATTACTTTTATCTGAAAATTTTTCCTGTTTTTTTCCTCTGGCCCTCTTTTCCTATTCTCTCTAACCCTCTGTTCAGCCACAGTGGCTTCCCTAATGTCTCTTTTTTATGCTAGACCAACTTATACTCCAATACCCTTGCTTTTGAGCCCTTGAACAATGTCCCCAAATATCTACCCACTCTTCTTCCTTCAGGTCATTTTTTTAAATGTGACCTCAATGAGTCCTTTCCTAACTTACCTGTTTAGGATATCTTTCTACTTTCTACTGGAAGCGTATCCTCTGTCTTCCTTCCTTGTATTATTTTTCTCCTTAGTGCTAATCACTTCATATATAATTTACTCATGTGTTTGGTTATTATCTTTCTTTTCCACTAGAATGTGAACTCCATGAGGCCAGGGGTTTTACTCTGGTGTGCTGTATCCACAAAATGTAGAGTGGTGTATGGCATACAGTAGGTGCTCAAATATTTATTGAATGGTAGTAAGTGAAAGTGCCCAAAGTTCCATACACTCACTTTGTTCAGAAGCCCATTTCTTTCTTACATCTTAAATGGTTGAGTCATTTGAGTAGTACGATGTTTGTTATATCAGTAGTAGCCATTAAATATTTGAGAGATTTAAAATAAATGGAAGAATCTGTGATCTAGTCGTGGTGGCAGACTGTATTTGCTTTGAAACAACCAAGGAAATTATAGTTTTGCTGTCAAGTAGTCAGAATATCATCTAACTTAAGCCTTTCACCAACAAGCCTGAATGCCAGCGTAGTTGAGTACTTGCTTACATATCTTTGGTCCTTAGTATACTCCAAATGTAAACACAATGTTATATTAAGAACTGTGATATAAGATATTAAGTACTGAAGAAAGTTCAATGATAGTTAAAAGCATAGTTTCTTTCTAAATGAGTATTTTATATTTCTTTCTAAATATGTATTCCCTGTGCTACACTGTAATGCATGCTGACCATCATGTCAATATTAGCATAATAAATATACAGATTTTTTTTCTGTAGACTAGAGGAAGGATAGGGTACTGGAAAGCCCTGGAGGAATATATCCCCAAAGCTACAAATGGCAAAAATGTGGATTTATTTTTTGAGACAGGATGTGGCTATATAGTTCAGGCTGGGCTCAGACTTGCCTTGATCTTGGATTACAGTCATGAGCCACTATGCCTGGCTAGCAAAAATGTGGGGTTTTTTAGACATTTCACAGACTGCAGTATCACCTCGGTTCACAAACGCTTCTGTTCGTGAACAGTTCCATTTGTGAACCAAAGTATTCAGTACCATTTTGTTTCCATTCTTGATCTCCGTGTCTGGTGATGAACATAACTGCTGCCATAGTCCAGAGAATCGTGGAAAGAATTAAGTTCATGAACGGAGGCAACACTGTAATTGCTAGAAAAGCAGTAAGAAATGAAACTGGAAAATTGAGATCCGACCAAATTCATTTTGAAAGGGCAAAATTCTGAATGCATTGTTTGAATAGAAAGCAGAAACAATAATTTTGTTTGCAAAAGTAAAGAGGCTTAGTTGATGGAAGCTGAAATTGATAAAGGAATCATACATTTTCAGGGAATCTGAGTTTAATGTTTAGTAGTGGCTAAAGTATCCTAAATGGGAAAATGACATCCAAGTTATCTGTTAAAAAAACCAGCATTAATGAAAATGAAAAGTACATCACAGTGTGAAACTTACATCTAAACATTATTCTAGCTGTTTCTACAGGGCACAGTTTCATACTGAGGAAACCGGCAGGCGCAAGAAGTGCTGTAAATTCTGAAGATCAAGACCAGGGTAGTTATAGGCTGGTGAGACCAGGAAATTAGCAGGGCCCTAGAGGAAATTTAGGTAATTTGAAGGAAGGAGAAAATGAGCAAGCTGGTTTTCTTTTGTTTTAGAAGTAAGTTTGAAGTATATGGAAATAATGTTTAATAGGTAAGATTGTAAAAAGAAAGTTATGCTAGAACCTGAGCAGTATTTCTGAATTTTGATTCATTAAATCCTAGATGGAGAATTTTCTAATATGAATGTTTACATTCCAAAAAAAAAGTATTATATGGGGTTTATGTATGTGGATCCTAACACAAATGCTTATATTAGTTAATTTGAAAGAAAAATTCCATTTGCCATTGTTTTATGTCTATCTGTCTGCTATGATATATTGTGTTTTCTTTATTCAGATAACTCAGGAACTGTTAATCAAATTATGATGGCGAACAACCCAGAGGACTGGTTGAATTTCTTACTCAAACTAGAGAAAAACAGTGTCCCCCTAAATGACGCTTTTTTAAATAAATTAATTGGTCGTTACAGTCAAGCAATTGAAGCACTTCCTCCAGATAAATATGGCCAAAATGAGAGTTTTGCTCAAATTCAAGTGAGATTTGCTGAATTAAAAGCGTAAGTGTTAACATTTTGACTGCATTTAACTAGCTGTATTAAATAGTATATACTTACACTGCAGAAAGGAAAAACAAAGACATTGCTAAATTGATATTTTTTGACCAAATATTTTTGCTTTTAATTAGCAAGGAATTATTGTAAACTTCCCTATGTACACGTTTCCAAGAAGTACATAGTTTAGACTGTGCACGAAAAGATTGGAAAAAATAATTTAGTATGGAATCTTATATAGAAGAAAGCAATATCCAACATTTTTTGGAAAACATATCAGATATTGATATAGATAATGAGTTTCCAAGTTTGGGAAGCTGTCTCTTTAAAACAAAACAAAATAAAAACTGCCTCTAATCTTTTATTACAGAATCCAAGAGCCGGATGATGCACGTGATTACTTTCAGATGGCCAGAGCAAACTGCAAGAAATTCGCTTTTGTGCATGTATCTTTTGCACAATTTGAACTGTCTCAGGGTAACTTGGCAATGTCAAGTCCAATATTTAAGTAAAAGATAACATCCTATAGTAACACATTTTAATATTAAATCATATATTTGGGGAGTTAAATCAAAAAACGTTAAAATTGATCAGTTGAGACTATGGGGCCAGTGGTGTGTGAGTGCTAACACAGAATGTTTGTTACCCTAACTATGCTGTTCATGAGGAATAGTCCAGGGAAATGAGCACCGTGTTGCTAGGTGGCTATATCTGAAGGAAAGCAGCTTCCTCACTGGTGTTTGTACAGTGAAGGACGTGAGACATTTAGATTAAGCTTTCTTAAGCTGTGGTTTTATAATAGCGTCAAGTGTACATTAGCTATAGATATAACAATTAGTAGTTTTTAAAAAAATAAACTGTAAAAACATTAGTTCTTGAGTTCTTCATAGTCTGGGCCTTTTGGTTAGGACTAGAACATCTGTCTTCATCAGACAGTTTTAGCCTGGCCATTCCTTAGCCTTACCTTTGTGGCACCCGGCCTGCCTGGCAAGCTTGAGGTGCTGAGCTTGATTCCCGGTACCACAAAAAAGTCTATCATCATTTCCTAGTCTTTTTTTCATTTTGGGGGGCTTTTGAATGTACCAGCCTACCCTTTTGAGTGTAACCAGCATATAGTGACCGAGTCTTCCTATTTTCCCTCTACCTTGTTTGTGTGACAACTCGAATCCCATTTACCAGCCTGTGGTAAAAATCTTAATCCCTATTAACACAATTATGGTGATGCATAAAGTTGAACGTGTTCACTAGAGAAAATTCTCCAGCACCAAAATTGGGAAAAAACATAAAACTTGGCAATGATTTGAGAATTTTAAACTTTTACCTGTACAATTGATTTCTGAGTCCTAGTAATCTGAATCTTCTCCAATCTACCCGGTGCACTATTAGATTAGTTTTAAAAAAATCATCTCATTCCTGCCTACAAAAATTGATTCCTCATTTTTGCGTGTTAGACCAAGCCTTTAAGACTATTTCTCCATTCCATTTAAACTTTTTTCGAGTATTATGTCTTCTCAGCAGTACCTACAAATTTTACATCTTTAAAAAATATTGAAAATCTTGAGTTGTCTATTAAAAGAAAATTCATAGCACTGCAATATAATAGCATCCTCAAGGTCAGAATTGTGATTATTTTGAGCAGGCTTGATAGGCGGTCGGGAAACACAGTGTCACTGAAATCCTATGCACAGTGTGGTGTGTGTGTGTTTGTTTGTAAATGAAGAGGACATTCCATGGTTTTATCAGATTTTCAAAAGATTTTTATTTTGCTGTCTAAAATAATTCTATGAAATTTTACCACTACTGTCAATACATGTGTGGATTTAAGCATTGTCAAATAATGTTCACATTCTTTAAAATTTATAAACTGTGAAAGACTAGAGGGCATTTCCTAATACTAAAATACTAAGCACATAGCATCGTAGCTCAACAGTTGTCATGACTGTGGATAGCACATTCTATAAGGTGTATGACATACATTTAGTATTTGTATATTGCATACAAGGGATGTTTGAGTTTGAAAGAAAATTTTTTCGATTATCTGTAGTGAGAAAATTATCACTATCAGGTTTTTTTTATTTTAAAAATAAAAGGAGGAAAACATTAACAGACAGACAACCTTTTACAAAATAGCAAAAGAACAGTACAGACAATACAGTTACAGACAAAGTGGTAGGAAATTAACAATGCTTGTTGTATTACATGCTGATATCTTCAAAGTGGTTTCTCATGAAAACAAATAGAGATGTGCAATATTGATCAATCAAGAACTCATTAACAGTTTCTTTCAGCAAAGAAATAGAAGACAGTAGTGCTGGGGATTTAGCTCAGTGGCAAAAGCGCCTGCCTGGCATGCGCAAGGTCGTGAGTTCGGTTCCTGGTACCGGAAAAA